TTAAAAGTTTTGTGGGTGACTTGGCAGAGTCCAGGATTCCCATTGAGGGCGATCACGTAGTCTTAAGCTGACACAGGTGTGTCCCTTGGATGGATATCCCCCGATCGCAGTGAAGATCTTCTTTGTCGTCGTTCCTTTGCCTTACTTCAAGGTCTCAGAGCTTCCCAGGGTGTGGCTGGTCATTCGTCATCGTGGTGATTGATCTGATACCTAGACAAAGGAGTCCCCATTGCTGGGTCGAGTAGGAGAGAGGAGTAGGAAGAGCCAGGGGTAACATGCACATGAAAAATATATTTGTATGGTAACCATTTAATTTGATTATTATTTTTATTTAAAGAGGGAAGTGCCAATAATTTTGCTTGTTTTGAAAATTGCATTTCATATTGATTAATCCCTAAAAATAAATAAGAAAATGGTTGTTTTAATTTTGAATTTCTAAAATCTGCTTAAATCTTGTTTTCATTTTGAATTTCTAAAATCTGTTTGAATCTTAAATTAAATTAAACAATATAATCCGAAATAGAGACAAAAAATTAAATCAATTTGTAACATATGTAAAAACATTAATGCAATATTTTCTGTTATATTTAAAATTTCGACACTTCAAAGCTTACAATATTATATTGATTGCTATATATATTTTTGATCCATTTAGTATATAGTAGTATATTATAGTACTCCATATAAACCCCTCACATTTTTCTCTCTGTGTGTCTCTTAATGCTACGTGCTACGTGCCCATAGATCCGCCGCCTTACCGTTAGACTTTGGAATTGGATTTGGTTATGGATTTTGGCCCACTGCGTGGTTCGGTTGGATCAGGTGGCCCCACCGGTCGGGTCGCAACCAGAGCTACCTGCTGTCCAAACCGAAGGCGGAAGGCCGCCTCACAACACGTTCGATGCGAGTCGCTGTGCTGCGATGCGAAAAGAAAGCTGGCTTTGTTGTTGCAGTTGGAGCTCGATCAGCTGGTGGCCCCGAACCTGTGGTCTCGCGCCCATAACTCTGGCCTGGTGGCCCCACATCCGCGCAGTCGAGTTCCGCGTCTCCGAGCGTTGAGTTCAGCTCTTTAAAAGGCATCCAGCCGCAGTCAGCTTCACCCAAAGCGCGCGTTCCAAGATCATAAAATACTATCTCGTTTTTTTTTTTGTGTTGTGCTGGCTTTCGTAATAATAATTAAAAATAGTTAATCCGGGAGTTGCCTTTTTGCATTTTTTTTTGGTTTGTGTTCCAAGTGCAAGTGGTGTGGATACCAGGATAACCAGGATACCAGGAGGATTAAACCCAGTCTTAGGTAAAGTTGCAAGTAGAATTCGTGTAAGACCGAGAGAGAGAGGGGGAGGGAGAGGGAGAGGGGGAGAGAGACAGGTGAAATGCGGTCGACAGTTGCAGAACATACACCGAGCACTTAACGGGGCCAATAATGATGATGACTGGCAGACCAGGAAAAGCCAAAAGTGAAGCCAAAGCCAAAGCCAGGCCGAGGCAATTGCACGTAAAAGTCGCCGTGAAATTGTGTCAACCAGTTTGGCTCCGACTTGGACCTCGTCTTCGACTGGGATTCCGTTTCGGTTTCTGGCTCCTAACTCTTCAGATCTCCATCTACGTAGCTCGCATTCTTCCTTCGCTAGTCATTAATTTATTTGAATTTGGCAAAACAAAAGAAACGCGTTCTCCGTTTTACTTTCTACAATGCCGCATTCTTCGCTGTCTGAAGACGCGAAGACGCGAAGACGCGAAGACGCGAAGCCTCGACTCTCGGGTGCCGTTGGCTTGAAAGTGGAACTGTCTGTCCGTTTGTTGCCCCAGCTGGTTGCTGTGGGTTAATGGTTAATGTTGCCTCTGCTGGCTCCAGAGATCTCTTAGCCAGCTGTGTCTGGCTAATTGCCAAAAACAAATACCAAGAAGTTTGACAAAAACTAGTAACGAAAGTCTTTAACTTATTGTATGTAATTTACAAAAACAATATTATTCGATATATAAATGTATTTTAAAATTGTCAATATATGTGCCATATTTTTATCGAACTGTTATGCTCGACATAGGTTAATTCCAACGATAAAGTATTGGAAAATCGTGACAGTTTGAGGTTGATTTAAAAAAAATATAAAAAAATTCGATTTAGTATATTAAAAACGTATATATTTGGATCAAAAGAAGTTAGTATTATTTTAAAACTATTATTATTTACCTAAGCATTTAAATCGCTTGCCATTTCTTTTATTATTTCCCTAAATAAAAATGAGTAAATAGTTAAGCCCTAGGAAATCCCAGTTTATTTTTTTTTCCAACTTTAAACTGGCTAATTTTCTGGTCCATCGGTTCAGCCTTGACCGGAAATGCTGGCCCCCTTTTTCGGGCGCTTTAACCCTCTATTAACCCACGGCCCACGCGAATAGCAAACAAATCAAAAATTTCACCGTTGGCTGCATTAAAGAACTTAACCTTAATTTTGGCATGGGTCTCCTCTCCCACTGTCTCTCTCTCTCTCTCTCTCTCTCTTTGCCTCGTTAAGGTAACTTTGATTTTTTCTACCTTTGCCTCTTTTGCTTCTGCTTCTTCTGGCTTTCTGCTGGAGATTTCACCCACACACACCGAAGAAAGTGTTAAGCACACACACACACACACACACGGCAAATCGAGCTAAAAAAAAAACAAAAGAAAAATCTCCTAAAGCCGAATCAAAATTATGCAAATTTTCGTTGGGTTATGCATGTGTGTTATATAAACCCACAAAAAAAAAAACTAAAGGATGTAAAAGTCTGACAAACTGCTTAGCATAATCGAGGCGCGATGGGTTTCGTAATCAAGAAAAAAGAGGAGAAAAAAGTCTAAAAAAAAGTAGATATTAATGATTCGAAATCAAAAGAAATCTTTACGGAATTTTCGCAGACACAGACACTTTCGCTGCCACACCGAATAATTAACAGTTCGATTTTTGGTTTCGATTTCGATATGAGCAGCAGCAGTGACCCCCTCCCCTCACTTATGATAATTTTTGATAAATACAAAAAAAAAAAAAAAAACTAAGGCCTTACCACTGCTGTGTGCCTCACTTTCTATTTTCCTATGCGTTTAATAATTAATTAATGCTAATAACTTTTCACAACCGTTATAATTTATTGACAAAATTCGAAAATGCGCTCAAAAACAAACGGTGTGCGAGGGAGAACACAAGACACACGTGGGGCCAGCTCTGGTCCCCCTCCCCCGCCATCTTTCTCTCTCTCTCTCTCCCACTAACTCCCATCTCTACACTCCAAACCTGCCGACATGCAAATGAACTGGACTCTTTGTAATGGGTTGTACGGTTACGTATTGGAATTTCCAATTGGGAATTTTGTAGCTCCCCATTTGGGATGAGAGAGAAATTATGAATGCGTGTGGAGACTCTCCATTGCAGAGGCCAGTTCAACGGTTAAATCGGAATGTGTAGGAAAGATTAACCCTAGTGCTTACTTTCGTAAATATTATGCTTTGCACCTGAATGGATAATTAAAGGGTTAAGAGAATGGTAAATATAGTATGCAGACTGCTACAAAAAATGCTAAAAATTAAGTAACTGGGTTTTAAACCTCAAGACCTTAAGATTTCCGGCTGGAGTAGCCTTTAAAGGAGACCTTTCCATAACTCATGGTCTACGCTTCTGGCCATTCATACTGCTTCGAGTAACTGGCCAATCTTATCAGCCATTTATTCTTAACTCGGACTAAGACTTGGACTTGGCCATGCCTCTGGCTGCCATATTTAGACGCCTGCACACTTTCTTTGCCCAAATACTAGCTGCGTCCACCAACTGGGTCACATGGCCATCCACACAGCCGCATCCAGTCAAGCAGAAGGTCATCTTTCAATGGGGAATGGGAATGGGAATGGGAATGGGAATGGGAATAGGGATGGGGATGGGGATGGTCGGGAGGCGGTGCCCAGAAAAATGAAAGTGGAACAGGTTCTCAGAGTCGGTCGAGATTTCTGTTTATTATTATTTACCATTTACCATTTACCATTTACCAAATGATGTAAGGAAATGTGCCGCATTAAAGGGGGAAGGAGGGGGAGCGAGAGCCAGGAGATAATGGTAGGAATAAGACAGTTATGGACATGGGCTTATTACACACACTCACACAACACACACACACACACACTCACAACACACACACACACAATCTATAGTCATTGAGGCAGGCTGAGAAGGAATCCATTTGAGAGAATGTTATGAATGAATGAATGAATGAGGGTTACTTTCACAGCGGATACTTGGCCACAGAATCCATCAGTTGAGCATGGTCCTATAATCTAAATATAATATTAATTGAGCATAATATAATATTATATTTTTAGCTCTAATATATTTGGAATGCTAAAAGTTCACTTAAATTATTTTACATTGTCTTAAATATCGTAAAAAATGAAATGTACAAAAATATCGCTCTTTGTCATTGAATATCAATTAATATTTCAACAGAATTTTTATTTGATTTATTTGTCCCTTTTAACTAAATATATTGTTTTGATATATCAAGTGGAATATAATTTATTTTATACATCTCTAATGAAAAGTTAAAATATTAATTTATGTATTGAACTTTGCTTAAAGTTTTAACATAGTATCGATATTGTTTTTGTATTTCTATATTCTTTCAAAAAATATATAGAATCATAGAATATATAGAAAACTATTGAAAAAACAAAAACCAAAATAATAAATCATATAATATATAATAAGTTATCAATTTAATTACAACTGCATAACCCGCTTTCTCACAGTGTAGACCTTTCGACAATCCAACAACAAATATGATTCTGATTAGCCAAGTAACGGTGCTTAGCACAACGAATAGGCAAAGCATAGAGAGAATGCGCTAAATCGTTCTTGTACTTAGCTTTGAGAGCACCTGAGAGAGCTTTGGAATGAGCACCACCTGCTCCATATATATGTATATATATATACGCATATTTATCGGTCTTTAAATAGTTCTGCTCTGGGTTTCTCCTGTGCGCTGTTGAGCTCCAGTTAAGAGCCGCTAATTGATTCGGACATCTCTTGGGTCGCGGCACAGTGAGTCAATAGCTGAAAATTTCACTTTGCCAGCGGTGACGGTGACTCCCAGTGCTCCCCCTCCCCCGTCTCCTCCTCGTCTTTCCCCTCCACCATCTCCGTGCCCCGGGGGCCCCGTTAGAGTTGGCAACAAGCTCCAACATGTTGGCTCTGCTCGGCGGAGAAGTGAATGAATTTCAAACGGCAAGCCGAGGCATTTTTCGTGGCTATTCTAATGAGGCTAACCCAATTCGTCAATTAAATAACTTTGCGGCCGAGAGACAGAGGAGATTTCACTCTCGTTTTTGGTAGTCTCTTTTTGGGCTGCTTTTCGCTTTCGTTATTATTATTATTTCTTTCTTTTACTTTATTATTATTTTTTTTTGTCCGGGTAGCCATTGATTTTTGGAGCTTTAATTTGTTTACTTTGCATTTCGGAGGCAGTTGAAGATGCGCAGAGAGTGAAAGAAATTATGTCAATATTTATTTAAATCCATTTCTTTTGCGAAAAGCAAAAGGCGTGACAACAACAAAAAAGTGACAAAAAAGCGAAGCGGAGAAAGAATGCGGTGAAACTTAATCGCTGGCCACTTGAAAGCGACGATTCGAACGAAGCTTGTTGACTTTACCGAATACCTTTGGGTATTTTATGGCATTGGGCTCTACTTTGATTTCCATTTCTCTGAGGGATTCACCGAATTTTCTCATTCATTTTTCCCTGGAATTGTTGGGTTATTCCGGGAAAATGTCCCAAAGCTGCAGCAGCTTCTGAGCCTCTCTCTCTTGTTTTTATTTCTCTCAAAGTGTGACTTTTCGAAATTAACTCTTTTGAAATTCCTTCACAGTTTGCATAATGACTAGCTATCGGAAGAACCTAATGCTAGTGCTGCTCCTGGTGGCCAGCACTGCCATTGTCCAGCTGGAGGCCAAGACCGTCTTCCGCCGGACGGATAAGATATCGGAGAACTTCAAGCAACTGGATTTGCCGCCCGAGGAAATCGATCCGAATGTGGCGCCGCCAGAGTCCGAGCCACCCAAGGTGGACGATGTGGTGGATGCCGCTGTGCCGGTGATCGATGAGAGTGCCAATGAGATAACCAGCGCTGATGTGGAGTCCACCAATGCGGTGCAGGAAGTGGCCACTGCTGCTGCTGCTCCTGCTCCTGCTCCCGCTGCTGCTGCTGCTGCTGTGGAAACTCCTGTGGCTGAGGCTGCTCCAGAGGCAGCTGCCGCCGCCGTCACCAAGCCACCAAAGGTGCCCAGCACCACGGCCAAGCCGCAGAATCCCATCAGCAGGTACTGCAAGTGCTCGGAGTCGCAGTGCGACTGCTGCCGCAAGTTCGGGCTGCCGCTGCTGACCAGCCAGGGTTGCGCCAGGATCGCCTATCTGGGCAACGACGAGATGAACGTGTCCCTGAAGTACGGCGACATCACCCTGGCCTCGCGCCGCATCTCCAGCAAGCGGGCACGCCCCATTTGCGTGGGTCTGCCCGGCGGCTACTCCGAGTTCTGTGGCCGCGTCTATGGCCTGTCGCGCTCCAAGGAGTCCAAGGACTTCAAGGCCTGCCTGGCCTTCGAGCTGCGCTCCGACGAGGAGGTGGAGGCCTCGCTCCGGGTCTCCTGCTTCAAGTTCGGTCCGGAGGGTCTGCGAGTGGCCGAGGCGGAGCCGTTGCCCACGAAGCCAGCGAGCGACGATGATGACGATGATGATGATGATATCTTTGGCTTTGCCGGTGAGTCTTCCAAATACAAGTAAATTATTTCATTTAATTTAAGTTAAATAAATCTTAAGTGGAAATGTAAAGTTAAATCAGTACGAATTTTCACGCAAAAGTGAAGCTTGGGGTGCATACTTGGCGTATACGTAATATTCATCTTATATTACGTATCCGCCTAGTGGGACCAAGTTTTAATTTTTTTTAACCCTTTTTGAGTATTATAATTTCTCGATAAATTTGTATATAAGAAAAAAGATATATATCAGTTAAGAAATGGTATTCAAATTTAAGTCAGAAGCTTGTAACGAAAGAGTCATTTCCGACCCTATATATCATATATATTCTTGATCAGCATGAACAGGAGAATCATTCTGGGCATGTAGAAAAAAATATAAATTTGTGTAAATTTTTCGAAATTTTATAAGGGGTTACATCCTTAAAATTGTGAAAAATTGATAAAAATGTCAATTTTTTAACATTTTAAATGGAGTATGTAGATTTTTCAATTATTAAGAAACGAACATAGGACAGCTTTCCGAATTAAATTTAATGCATTTTTGGCAGAGTTATGATATTTTTAAATTTGGATATGTCTAAAAAATTGTCATATAAAAAAAATGGATAAATATGGGTTAAAAAATGGTATTCTAATTTTAATCAGAGGATGGTAAAACAGTGAAGGAGTCATTTCCGACCCTATATATTATATATATTCTTGATCAGCATCACCGGGGGAGTATTTCTAGGCGTGAAGCAAAGAATCGCAATTTTTGTTCATTTTTTGAGAATTTTATAAGACTTAAAATTGTTAAAACTTGATAAAAAATTGAATTTTTTTAACATTTTAAACGGAGTATACCGTTTTATTAATTATGCAAAAACTAACATAGGACACCTTTCCGAATTAAATTTAATGCATTTTTGGCAGAGCTATGATATTTTTAAAACTATTATTTACTCTTAAAATTACCAAATAAAAATATTCATTATTAAATATTAAATATTTACCTTGAATGCATAAATTTTTGGTTTTCTTGCTTGCAAATGAAATCCAAAAAGTCAATGATTGCCAAACGTCATATATGTTATGTATATTTCGATTTCCATATAGTAAACAATGATTTATATTAATTATAAACATCGTAAAATATAGATAACAAGTTCTTTAATCACTTCTTTTATTTTTGCTAATAAATTGTTTTAATAAATCAAATTTATTGCACTGATACAATATAAAAATTGTAAATATTGACCAATATCCCTTTAAAGTATATTTTTATCTAAAAATATTGAATTAATGTTATTTAATTTATTTGTTTTTTCACCTTTTAAATTGTTCAGATAACTTAAATGGAATATCAATAACATATACATATATACATATCCATAATATAATTTAGTTTTTATAATTATTATTAACACTTTTATATCATTTTAAAATATATTTCTTTTCTATACCAAATCCATAGCTGGTGGCGACGATGACGAGGACGAGGATGATGACTATGACAGCGAAACCGACAACGACGCCGATGCCGATACCGATGATGATGATGACACCGAGGACTATGCTGATGACGACGAGGCCGAGGCGCCCGAGGACGCTGACTATGGTGGCTTCAGTCTGGCCGGACTCCTGGATGAGCTGGACGATGACGAGGACGAGAAGCCGGCCAAGAAGCCAGCGGCTGCGGCTGCTGCTGCTGCAGCTGCTGCAGGTGCCGGCGATCAGACCAGGGAGCATGTGAGCACCGATGGCCAGGCGGAGACACAGCTGGTGCAGAGCAAGGACGAGGCGGGTGCTCCGGCTGCCACTGTTCCCGCCAAGGATGATGCCGCCGCCTCTGCCTCTGCAGCTGCTGCAGATGAGGCCGCACTTCCGGCTGCCGTCGAGGGTGAGGTGACCCCGGCTCCTGCCGCCGCTGACCTTGACTCCACCACGCCCAAGGCCAAGAAATCGAAGAAGGCGAAAAAGAACAAGAAGAAGAAGGCCGCCGCCGAGGCGACCGAGGAGACCGGCTTCGCCTACGAATTGTTGAACGGCATCCTGGATTTTTTCAATTGAGCGGCCAGCGCGAGTTTGCCAATATGTTGGGCAACAGTGTAAATACCTTGTACCGCCGCAGCTGGCCGGGATTTGGAGTTAGACTTAGTAGCTAGTGCCTAGGGTATCCCCTGAATCTGAAATTCACTTATTTATTTGCTATTTATTCGATCCGTCATCAGTTAAATGTTAGTTCTTATTTATTTCTTAAACTTCTCAACGAATAACAAATAAAAAAATGTGAAAAAATGTAAACACGGGTGCTGCTTTACCTCTTTTTACAGAATTTAACGAAATTACCTTCCAATTAATTATGACATTTTTCTATAATTATTTTTGTATCGCCAAGATGTGCTGAAACATGCACGTTCTAAGTATTTTAATTTATTATTTGTACAAACATATGCTAGCCTGACTAAAAACCACGCTTGTAACGACAATTCCACAAACCGTTTCACGAAATTCTCTCTAAAAATGCTTTAGATTTGACTTTCTGTACCAGGCGAACATAAAACTCAGCAAGCAGCTGAGCGCCTGAATTAAAAGTCCCAAAGTAACGGTTCTTAAAAGATGAGAACCTAAAGAACCTCTCTGATTGGTCTAATCAGATGTAAACAAAGGGCGGCCATTAATATTTAGGTTCTAAAGTAACGGATCTTTATAGAGAGTAATGCAAAGAGCTTCTCTGATTGGTCTAATCAGATGTAAACAAAGGGCGGCCATAATTGATTTGTTCTAAAGTAACGGATCTTCAAATCGAGAGGTACGCAAAGGGCTTCTCTGATTGGTCTAATCAGATGTAAACAAAGGGCGGCCATTACTGTTCTGGAAAAGATCCGTTATGAACAGCGCTTGTTCTTGTGCTGCAGGGTTGCTGCCAGTGGTTTCTGTTTGCCTGGTATATCAAAAGCGTTTGATTTGTTAACTTAGCCTGTTTAAAGCCCACATTTCCAAGTTTTGCAAGGGGTAACAGACATCTTGAAAATTATACATAAAATGTATAAAATTTGAACAGTCTTAAATATAAAATATTTTTATCATAGAATCTTTAAAAAAACCAATACAGAAAAGCTTTTCAAATTGAAATGCATCTTTGGCTTAGTTATGATCGACATAAATGATTTAATTTTATATTACGAATTATTTATTTTAATTTTAGTCAGAAACTTGAAACGTGAAGGAGTCGTTTCCGACCATATTTATCATATACAGCATGAATAAATAAATCGTTCTAGCTATGTCTGGGGAAAATAAATATTTTACCGATTTTTTATAAATTTTATAAGGGGTTGCATAGTAAAAATTGTCCAAAGTTGATAACACTTTTAATTTCCTAACATTTTCAGGATTAATGTGCAGATTTGTTAACCCAATAAAAACTTGAACAGAAAAGCTATCCGAATTGAAATAAATGCATATTTGGCCGAGTTATGACATTTAAAAAATTAATTTTTACAAAAAGTTAACATATAAAAATAAATATTTAATTTAGGTAGCATAGAAATATTTTAAATTTTATTATAGGTACACGAAGTCCGAAAAGCCAATGATTAATATTAAACATTTAAAAAAATTAAATCCGCCATTATATTAAAACTAACTTTAAGAAATAACAAATCCAACAACAAAAAACAAATCCAACAACAAAAATCAAATCCAAAATAGCGATTTCGCAACGTAAATTTCTTAAAAACTTGGTCTGTTCTACCAGGCGAACAGAAATGCAAGCAAGCAGCTGATCGGCTGCTTAAAAATCCTAAAGTAACGGTTATTAAAAGAGAGGAACGTGAAGAACTTCTCTGATTGGTCTAATCAGATGTAAACAAAGGGCGGCCATCATTGATTTAAGTTTTAAAGTAACGGATCCTTACAGAGAGGAACGTAAACAAAGTCACTGATTGGTCAATCCAAAGGTAAACAAAGGGCGGCCATTAATGATCTAGTCCTAAAGTAACGGATCTTTACAGAGAGGAACGTAAACAACGCCTCTGATTGGTCTAATCAGATGTAAACAAAGGGCTGCCATTACTGTTCTGGAAAAGATCCGTTATGAACAGCGCTTGTTCTTGTGCTGCAGGGTTGCTGCCAGTAGTTTCTGTTTGCCTGGTATATCAGAAGCGTTAGATTTGTTAAATTAGTCTGTTTGAAGCCCACATTTCAGAGTTTTGCAAGGGGTAACAGACATCTTGAAAATTATACATAAAATTCATTAAATTTAAACAGTCTTAAATATTAAATATTTTTATCATAAAATCTTTAAAAAACCAATACAGAAAAGCTTTTCAAATTGAGATGCATCTTTGTCTTAGTTATGATCGACATATATATTTAATTGTATATTACGAATTAATTATTTTAATAAAAAAAAATTATTTTTACAAAAGTTAACATATAAAAATAAATATTTAATTTAGGTAGCATAGAAATATTTTTAATTTTATTATAGGTACACGAAGTCCGAAAAGCCAATGATTGAAATTAATCATTTAAAAAAATTAAATCCGCCATTATATTAAAACTAACTCTAAGAAATAACAAATCCAACAACAAAAAACAAATCCAACAACAAAATCAAATCCAAATTAGCGATTTCGCAACGTAAATTTCTTAAAAACTTGGTCTGTTCTACCAGGCGAACAGAAATGCAAGCAAGCAGCTGATCGACTGCTTAAAAATCCTAAAGTAACGGTTATTAAAAGAGAGGAACGTGAAGAACTTCTCTGATTGGTCTAATCAGATGTAAACAGAGGGCGGCCATCATTGATTTAAGATCTAAAGTAACGGATCCTGACAGAGAGGAACGTAAACAAAGTCACTGATTGGTCAATCCAAAGGTAAACAAAGGGCGGCCATTAATGTACTGAAAAGGTGAAAAGATCCGTTATAAGCACAGATTAATTCAAGATCTTGTTGGGCTGTGGTCGTTGCTGTTGGCCTGGTATCAGAAGACTGAAACGATGTGGAAAATAAGCAAATATCGTACACATTGGCAGCCGCTCGTGAATGTTGCTGGATTTGTTGTTAATTGTGAAAAATGTTGAATTGAAATAAAATGCAGACCACATTTTCATTATAATTTTAGGTCATTAGTTTGAAAAACACTTACCTTAGCCAAACAAGGAGTTTGAGGTTTTGTTTACCGGTTTATAGATAGAAATTCAATGGGGAAATGACATCTATTAAAGTTTGCTTGAAACTGGAAGGAAGTTTCAATGGAGCACAACACTTGCTGATGGCTGGGCCTCTTGGTTGGTGTTGCTGCCCGCTCCACCTTGAATAATCCGCTTTACCGCAGTCTCATCTCTGGCCTCCCTGGCATCTGTGGCATTTTGATTAGTCCATTTATGGGCTCACTCTGGCTTCTTCCCCCAGTGCGTCCCAGGCTTTTTGGGGCCTTCCAAGGCCTCCTCCGAGCACACACATTTTTCGAGTTGATTAAGTGCCGGCCTCACCATTTGTCAAACTCAGCGCCGGAGCAACTTTTAATTAGAAACTATGCGCATCGTGGCAGGGCGTGATGGATTCCAGATTCGGCAGGATCTATGGCATCCCCTTAATTAGCTGGCAAAGCCACCGAATCCCAGGCCCCCAACTTCCCAAGTTCCCAAGAAATAAACTGCAAGTCATATTTATATATGTATTTTGTTATTTAATTGTACACATAGAATAAAATATGTAAGTTGTATGGTTTGGTGGAAACGCTGAAGTCCGATTCAATTTGATTGAATGGCTTGGTTTCGCAAAACGAAATAATAAATTACATAAAATATATACGAATTTCCAAAGCGCATCAGAGGTGCCCTTTCATCTCTTCCTAATCCACAACACTTTTATTTAGTTTCACCACAAACATTGCTTTTTATTTTGAATGCAATTGGTTTTTTGGGTTTTCGGAAGATCTACATGGTGAGAAATCAGGTGTTCTTTTTGGTTTAAAATTGCACAGGTGATTATATTTGTGTGCTGGGCACCCCTGTTGTTTGCGTTTGGTTCAAAATTGGGAGCTCTCCCGTGGAACCTTTATCCTTTTTTGCTCACTAAAACTCACTAAACTTAGTTGCTTTGCATGGAAAACTGTAAAAATTGAATTGAAATCATTGGGAATGGAGCAAATTGTCGTTCTATATATCAATATAAATATATATGTATATATGTATGTATAGTTATCAATTACAAATAGATTTCATTCAAAACACACACAAATACATCATCAAAGGGTTAACGTACATAAAAAAAATGTATTCATAAGTATAGGTGTATATATTCTTGTATATTCGTGTATATAGAATCCAACTACATATATTTTTTTGATTTGTAAACAATTTTGTTAGTCAAAAAGTGGATTTTCCTTCAATATTTTTGTATAGTTTTTTGCATTTCTTTTTCTTTTTTAAAATTTTTTTCTTACATTTTCTTGTTTGGAGAGAAAGAGCTTTGAGGGGAGGAAACCTATAAGGGAAACATTTTCCTTACTAAATCCATAACTAAATCCACATCCGTTCCGTCTATCACACACTTGATATATGATATAGAACAAGTCCGCCTAGCTGGCTATCAAAAATTCCACTCAAAGATCTTGTCCGAAATTCGTATAAAGTTTTCTAAATTAACTTTAGGTATTCCCCACATTTTCATCTTTTGTGTTTTTTTTTTGTAGAAGAGAGACATGTGTGTGTGTATATATATCTCAATATATAATATGGGTTATATAATCATATATGTGTATATATTTCGATATATGTATATCTCTTGGTCTTATGGCCTATATATTCTGATTAGTAACTCTTAAAGCCTAGTCAATCGGTGTTTGTGTGTGGGGAAATGAAGAGATATCGCGGATCAAGGGCTCAGCAGGGGTGCTCATCGTCGAAATGAGGATCGTCCTGTTTTAAGGATGCCCTGGTTTTAGATTGCAAATATAGCATGGACTATCAGTCTCTGGTTTCGAAGTAGAAGTGGCTCTAAATTCGGTTATTTGTTTTGGAAATTATAACGAACGGTCAGATCATGGTATTCATATATTTCCTAGAGACATATTTGCATATTTTAATATATGTATGAGCCCCTGCTTCGAGTCTGTATAGTATGTTTAGGGATAATCCCGAAGGTAGGTAGTGTGTGCCAATGTGACCTTGCCTTTGTCTAACTCGTGTTCCTACATCAGGTTACTTCCATTTCGTTGTTCCGTTCACTTTGTTCGTTCATTATCGTTTCCTGATCAGGATCAGGGCTTTCACATCCCATATAATACCTTACGTTTCTCCAACTGGAACAACATACAATAATTCTCTTTCCTTTGTCCAGCACTTTGGCATATTCTGTTCTGTTCTGTTTGGTTCGGTTTGGTGAAGGTACGATTAGTGTCTACAGTTACGGTCTTAAAAACAAATGCAAATTAATATATAAATGTATATAATGAGCTCTATTTTAGGGGGCTCAAATCGAAATTAATGGCAATATAATCACAAGTATAATAAAAATAAAAATAAATACAAAAACATGAAAGAAAACTATCTTCGGGATTCCGAAGTCTTTATACCCCTGCAGTTTGAAATTAATTAAAAGGATCGTAATGGAAAAATTGTAGAACTCATTAGTTTTAATTAGAATAATAAATATGCACGGCCCCAACCGGACTTTATTAAACTTGGAAATATGGGCTTTAAACAGACTAATTTAACAAATCTAACGCTTCTGATATACCAGGCAAACAGAATCCACATATTTAAAAAAAAATCCAAAATAGAACTTCATTTCTGGGTATAGATTAATTTTAAATTAAAAGAAAACCACTGAAAAGACTTTTCTAAACGTTTCCTGGATGGCTCTAAAGGATTCCGGCAGAGGTATAATTATTTAAGTATATTAAATAATTAACGAAATAAATATGAAATGAAAACAGGAAAGTAAGCCATCTTTGGGATAAAATAATAATAAAATAATATATATTAAGGAAATAATGCAAAAGAGTGGAAAATACCAGCCTAATGTTGAAATATTGACCGTAGCTGTATATTTGTTGTTGGTGGTGACTGTATGTGTTTTCATTACTTGTTTCTTTTTTTTGCCATTTTCAATTTGTTTAATTTTTTTTGTATTTTTTGTTGACTTTCTGCAGAGCAGAGCTCTTTGTTGAGCACACACACACATAAAGTGGAAACTTTGGCTTACTTTGTTCGTTTTTAGCCCATTTTGTTGCCACTATTGTTTATAATTTTATTGGCCTTCTGTCTTCTGCCTTCGGCTCTTTGATAGGAATTGAGTACCTTAAAAAAAGAAGCACTACCTAATGACTTTAAAACAAAAATATTTAAAAATGAAATAATCAAGGAAATAATAATAATAAATCATAAAAAGAATATTTCTCAAAATTGTTAAGTAAATAATTGTCAATTAGAAAAGCTGAAGAGGATGTAATAATTAAACCGATTAAATTAACATATAATTAATTTAATAAAGTTATTTAGTTCAATTTATAAATATAATTTAAATGTCTTAATCAAAAAATACCTCTTTTATCTATTACATTTCCTATTTATTCTGAAGTAATTAAAATGTTCCTCATTTTACTTGACACCTTTCATTTAGGGTATTGTGTGTGTGTGCTATTTGTTTTTTATACAAATCATTTTTAAATACACAACATATACACATCGATAATAAAACACTTGTGTTTTGTAAAATCTTGATTGTGGTTATTAATGACGCCATCAAGAAATATCCTCCTGGGCGCATTTGCGTATAGCATTTGTTTGTAATACAATAAATATTTGCTTAGCAAAAGCAAAAAGAGAAGCGATTACAAAGGTGCAATTTTCTTTCACATTCGTATAATTTCTAGAAAATATATGCGATAATATATAATATTAAAATATTCTATATGGTTTTTTTGCTTTGTGTCTTTTAATTTCTTTTTTTATACAAAAAATATTGCCAAAGGCCAATTTTAAAATGAACATGCGAGTATCAAAACTCTCAAGAAGGTGCATCTAAGTTGCATTTGGTCACACCGCATGCTGCTATGTTGCTTTTGGTCACACTTAGAAACGATCGCTCGCTTGCTTACATAAAATGATTATAGAAAAGGTGATTAAAATATTCGAAAATATTTGAACATTTTAACTGGACGATTTTTCGAATTTTGTGTAAAAGAAAATGTTGCACCTTTCTAGATCGCCTGCTCCTTGGTCAAAAAGCTGCTTTTGTTTTTATTTTTAAATCAATGCCTTTTGCTGTATGTTGAAATTTAAGCTCAGAATGTTTTGCTTGGTAATTTGCTCATTTTTATAAATTTTTGCTTTCAAAATAAAGTACCATATTTCGCTGTTCATTCTTGTTGCATGTCCTGGTATTTATCTATTTCCTTTTTAGCTTTAACATACATCCGTTTGAGCCCTAAGGCCTTAATTTTTGTTGTCCCTTTGCTTGCTGCTTAGTTAATTTAATTTGTTAATTTGCAAACATGCCTTAAAATCGTTTATGTGTGTGTTACGATATACCTTTTTTATACCTCAGGTATTTTATTTTTATTCCGATTGGTTGCTACTTAAAAAGTCTGCTGATCAATATTCATTGGACTGAAAATTATTGTCGGCATTTGCAGCTTTAGTAAAATCTTTCGAACCCTTTAACATTCTCGCCGGAAGCTCCTCTCGGAGCTTGAAGAACTGCCTCAAGATGGTGCTCTAAAAAATATTTCTGACTAAAATTGGTGACGACTCCCTGTAGTTTCTTGTGGATCCCTCTCGCTGTGCTCTCCCCACGCTCTTTTGCATCCATCCCTGTTCACCCTTACATCCGCTAGACTTACCCTGATTCTATGCTACTCTCTCCTCCTTGATTCCCGTCTATGTACAGTCAGTCTATGGCTCGCCCATTGCCGTGATCCTCTCCAGCTTAGATCACAAAGAGATCGCTGCAGCTGGAGGAGTTGCGGCGCCTCAGATTGATGGACTTCTTGAAGCGCAGCACCGACGAGATGAAGACCTTGGTGCGGGCGGTTAGCTTCTTGACCACCTTCCGGTTGCAGGAGCTCCGAGGTGCTCCCGGGTCTGTGCCCCCGGCAGCCTCCTCGTCATCCTCGCTGGCATTCCTGCCATCCCTGTCTCTGTTCCTGTGCCGTAGCCGTTCCTCCTCATCGGGGATCTGGGAGTCGTCGAGGGCGCGGAGTTCATGGCGACGCTGCAGCTCGGCCATGGCGGCGGCTGCCGTGGACGTGAAGGTGGCACCGTCGAAGGAGCGCCTCTTGCCAAAGGGTTGGCGTCGTGGCGTTCGGTGGCGATGGAACTCCTCGTTGGCGGTCAGCAACTCGAACTTGCTGAGCTGCTGTTGATGGTGATGTGTGGATTCCAGGACGTCGCCATCCTCGATCTCACTTTCGCCCATCTTGAGGATGCTCTCCAAGTTCAAGGGCTTGCGATTGGGATTCTCTATGCGGGTCTTCCTACCACCAACTCCTCCTCCCTCTGCCTGCTGCTCCTCCTGTCATATACTCTCCATCTCCATCTCCTTCTCCTCATCCTCCTCCGCGTCTTGCTCCTCCTCGTCGCCTTGGTAGATACTCATCTGGCGGACCATGCGACGGGCATGCAGATGCATACCGCTATGCTTCTGGATGGCGCTCTGGAGATTCAGCAGCTCGTACAGCTCCTTCTCCGTCAGGCGGCGCAGGCGCTGAGGATTGAGCTTCACCTGGGCCACAATGCCCACTAGGAGCTCGTCCACATTGTGATGCAGACCGGAGGATGTCTCGATGAACTTGCAAGCTATCTGGGTGGCCACATAGCGACCCACTGAAAAGGGGGAGAAGAAATCAAAAAGACCTGGATTAAGTCTCTTTCAATTTGATTTTATAGTAAACTAAATTATATTATATATATCTTTAGTACTCACTGTACTGATTCACCACTCGATGTCGCTCCAGATCCGTCTTGTTCCCCACCAGAATGGCTCCCCGGGAGAGAAGCATCTCGTTCTCCTTGAGGTACTGCAGCACGCGCTCCGCTTCCTTGAAGGTTTTGCGATCCACCACAGAGTAGACAACCACAAACAGATCGATGTTGTAGGTGGCACAGAAGGCCTCCGTCTGGGATAGAATGAGGAGAAGGCAATGAAACTTCGATGGCCATATGGCGCTGCTAAGTAGGCTACACAAAAAAAGCTGCTAGGATGCTGAAATCATGGCCTTATACCCTACATCCTACACCCCCAACCCCAAAACCCCCAAACCAGGACGCTTGGCTGAGCGCAGCTGCCACAAGTCCTCGCCGGCGACCTTGGCCGGTTGACTTAAGGACTTAAAGCTCTGCTAAGGAAATTATAACGCTCTGTAAGAGCCAACCCCTATGGGTACTATACAAAAGATGTACTTAATGAATTAAACAGAACATATAATAAACGTGATTCAAGCTGATTTGAAATCCCTTTAGTCTGTCCCATATTCATAAATATATTTCAAACCCATTCGCCTTACTTTGTTTCTCTTTTAAAGCCTGGGGCAGCAAAAGGACAAAAGTGTTAATGACATTTGCCTTGGCCTCTGAATGGCCCTTAAACCCGCCACATCTGGAGCTCAGTTGGAGCTCAGTTTGGCTGGTGGAAATGGAGCACAGACTGACGACTACGACTAGGACATTAGCCACTACACTGCACTACATGCTATGGGTTTCTGGGTTCTACCTACTCACCGACATCTCGCTCGCTGGATGGTCAATAATTTCCAAATCCGTCTCAATGTTATCAAGCAGCACCGACACCTTCTTCTGTCCATAGTCATCATCTAAAACAAAACAAAAAAATGTACAACATAAAAAAAATCAAATGGTTTTTCTATACATTTTCTGTCTGTATATTTTCTGTATTGCCTTTTATAATTTATAGAATTATTCAAGGCCTTTTGCGTTTAATAAAATTAAGAGAAGGTTATATGTATTTACACAAATCAAAGCTGTCTCTGTTTCTGGCCAAGTGCATAAGAAGTTCTTTCCTTCTTCTTGCTTTATTAAGAGTTGGAAAGATTATAGAAGTAATTAAGAGTCATAAAGCAAACCCATATTCTCCTATACCTAATATCCTCTTCAGTTTTTACTACGACTTTAAAGCATACTAAAACAAGCCACCATATAAACCAATTTAAACACGATTCCTTCCCATTCTTCCCCCCTTCGTTACCAGCAAGTACTACTTGCCACAGAATGTAGTCCCAAAGTGCAGTAGTTACCACTTGCAGTCTTGGTTTAAAAAAAAATCGATCAAATTGCAGCAGCGAGGGAGGGAGGGGCGTGTCGGCCATAAAACCGTAATCAGAGTGATTTTATTTGGCCAGCAAGTTAACGTCATTGTCATTGACTCGTTTTTTAAACGAAGCGAGTCATAAAATGTGTACAAGGAGCAGGGAGGGAACCTGGTGGCAGCTCGTAAAGCCTGTTCCAGGACACGTCAGGACACTGATCAAAACAAGTAAATAACTAAGTATATATTTATTTACTAAGCAAGAAAGAGTACAGCTTAATTGCTAGCCTATAAAAAATATTTCAAGTGTTTTTGTTTTTAAAAAAGAAATACAATAAACTCAAGGACTAATCCCTTGATTTCTTTCAGTGAATGCCAGCTTTGTCAGCAGTTTTACATGAGCCAAAAAAACAAAAAAATGAAAAAGGGTAACAGAGTTTAAGGGAGAAGCTACAAGAAAGCAAGGATAATGGGGCAGGACCCGCACCAGGACAGACAATGACTGCAGTTTGTGTCCAACTTCAACTCTGTTTGCATACAGTTTGTGTCAAATATTTGGAGGATAGTTTTACCAGAGAAATTTTCCTTTTCAGCCAGTTCCACTTTCATTTTGCATGTTGCAAGTACATAACATATATATATTTTTTTTGTAGAAAATTGAATAGGGAAAATGTAAAACAACAAAAAGCGTGTCCTGCGAGTCCTTTCACGGACTTAGCCGATTAGTCATAATGGTGGCGGCAAAACCAAAAGCCAGTCATTGCAATGCAATTATATAAATTCCTGCGCAAACAAAGAACTGAAAGGACCACAGGACTCTGTGGCCAAACCCAGCGAAAGCCAACAACGTTTCATTTATAAATGTTTTGGCCAAGAGATTTGTGGCTTATTAGTGGTTATGGTTACCAAAAGGCCACTGCGTATGTAGATGGTATGGAATTTAAGCTTGAATTAATCGCTTCCACACCTTGCGCTCGTCAATGTCAATTATAATTAATTAATAATAATTGAGATTAATTTAATTTAAGGAATTTTAAGGTATTAAATAATTAGCAAATATATTTTCTTAAGCATTGTTATCCCAATTTACAGCTAAGTAACGCATGCGGGTACAGTTGTGCTTCAAAAGTACAGTTGCGTTTACAAGACAGGACACGATATAGGTACAGTTGCGCTTAAAAATAGCCCAAGATTCTAGCCCTATTTTGATTTTCTTGATTTTAATTGAAAAACTGAACCAGTTTTGCCACTAAATTACTTACAACATGAAACATGAGCCGTACAGTTGTGCCAAAACTAAAATAGACTTTCTTCAGTCTTAATAAAAACAAGGAAAATAGGGAAAAACAAAATACCCAGCTAAATTTAGTTGAATCGGAGGTGGAATGTAATAAATCCAACATCTGCTCTGAGGGAGTGGCCAAGTCAGTGCTTGGCCCTCGCCCAGATTTGGTCATGCAACGCCACGCCGGCTGCCATTAGGGAAAAGATGCCAGGCACCCACACGCAGCCATACACTGAACAAAAAAAGCGCTACTTCTTTGAGAATTTAATTATATTTTAAAATTTCTTAGGGATTTTTTTCCTTAAACTGTTTAGCAATACAATAATATGAACTTGTACTAGGTAAGAGTCCCTTCTAAAATTTCAATAAGAACAATATCCTACCTAATATCATATCGAAAACATTATATACTTTGATGTATCGTTATTGATTTTATTAAAATAATATTATACAATTTGAAGGAAAGCTAACTATGGGAAACCGAAGTATATTCTTACCATTAGCAATTGTGTCTAAACTTCTTTGTTTATAACTCTGCCAAAAATGCATTAAATTTAATTCGAAAAGCTATCCTATGTTAGTTTTTTTAAGGGTAATAAATCTGCATACTTCACTCAAAATGTTAAAAAATTCAAATTTTTATCAATTGTTGACAATTTTAACGATGTAACCCCTTACATTTTCGAAAAAATTGACAAAAATTTAGTTTCTTTCCAACATGCCTAGAAAGATTAGCCTGTTGATGCTGATCAAGAATATATACGATTTATAGGGTCGGAAATAACTCCTGTACTACTTTTCAAGCTTCTGACTACATTTATAATACCCTGGAAGGGGTACAAAAATAAAACTAGGATCCACTAGGCGGATACGTAATATGAAGTGAATATTACGAATACGCCATGTTTGCCCTCTAAGCTACACTTTTCCGTGAAAATGTGTACTTTTTGCACTTTGCATTTCCATTTCGTAATTTGATTGTTTGTTTACAGTGTAATCGCTTGCGTGTCCTGGAAAAGGGCATTATAAAAGCACAGAAAATGGCAACTAGAGAAAGGAAAAAAGGCCCACACGCACACAGAGCAGGGGACATCCTGCATCCTGCAGGCATAGAATTGCAGGCACAGGCACATTCCATTCTCTTTTCCTTTTGCCATTCACACTAAAACGCGTAAACAAAAAGCGAGTGGGAGGGGGGGGGGGACCAAAAGAAAGGCCAACGCACACGAGCCTGGCCACACTGGCAATTGTATGTGGCGGTCATAAAGTTGGCTCCTACTCCTGCCTCCTCCGCCTGCCTCCTGATGCTGCTGTGCTAATTAAAACTTGGAATTTTATTATCTCGACAACAGAGAGCTGCAAATTTCTGCGTGATCCCAATGGGAGGCTGAGCCCCGAAGCTCAAAGGCTGCGTAACCCCAGCAAAGGCCAGGAGAAGGGCGTCCCAGGAACAGGAGCAGGGACAGGAAAGAGGATACATACATCACTCTGGCCAAAGGCCTTCACTCGAATCCCAAAAACTATGCCACGCGCAACAGTTTGCTGCGGTTGCAGTAGCAGTAGCAGCAGCAGTAGCAGCAGCAGCAGCAGCAGCAGCAGAAGTAAATATCACTCATACGCCAAGGGTGACCGAATAGTGTATGCATATGTTTGTGCAAAAATAATTCAACTATTTTAATTAAGGGTAGAGCAGGTCAAAAGAGAACTATGAACAACTCAAGAAAATAATTGGATTTCAAAATATATAATTAATTATATTTGAAATAAAAGACAAGCCAAGGCACGTGTGCAATATTATCAAGGCTTTAACAAATATTTAGATTTGTGCAATATTTAGTTTAGAAATTATATGGATATTGTTCTAGAAGCTAGTTAGTTAGTCAGTTAGAAAAAGATTAAATATTTATTTTCGAAAGTTTTAATATAGATGCATCGTTGTTTTATTACCATTTCTTGTTTTTGTTTAATTATTTTTCAAAAGAATAGTTTCACTGTTTTTAGTAAGCTTTACAAAATATGACTGGAAAAATGTTTATATCAATTTGCTTTTTATCTAAAAAGGATTTTTAAAATATTAGAAAGAAAATATGTATTTTTATATTGTTATATTATAAACAATCTATTAATTTAAGTTAAACAAATTCAAAATGGAATTGCAAAGTTGCAAAAGTACGAATTATCATGCAAAAGTGAACCTTGGAGGGCAAACATGGCGTATACGTAATATTCACTTCATATTAAGTATCCGCCAAATGGAACCTAGCTTCAATTTTTTAACCTTTTTAACCTAACTTGTAGTGACATTTCCAACCCTATAAATCATATATATTCTTGTTCAGCATAAACAGAGGAATCTTTCTAGGCATGTAGCAAGGAATCTTAATTTTTAGCAATTTTTTTAAAATTAAATAAGGGGTTACATCAATAAAATTGTCGAAAAATTGATAAAAATATGCATTTGTTGACCTAATAAAAACAAACATAGTTCAGCTTTCCGAATTAAATTTAATGCATTTTTGGCTTAGTTATAATATTTGAAAAACTTAGATTTTCCCTAAAATTTAGCATATAAAAATATTGATTTAATATACCTACCTGTAGGCCAAAAAGCCAATAATTGCCAAATGTGATATGTCTTTCTACTAGCAATTAAAATCAATGTCAGGTTTCTTTCCTATTCGATATATGCATATTTTATTAGTACCACAATAATATTTTGATATTTCCCTGCTTTAGCCTGCTGCTAATATGAAATATTAAGTTTCGGCAATTTTTCATCACAATTAGATTACCCGTCAAAAGCCTCAGGAATATGTCTCAGCTGTAATTAGCTCAGTGGCTGAGCTCAAAAGGTAATTTGATAAAGTCCAAGAGTCCGTCCAAGAATCGGATGCATCCTTTTGCATCCTTGACCCACAATTAAGGCGACACGTGTCTCACAAAAATAAAAGGAAATATCAAGAAGAGCGGGAAAGCAGCCCAGGAGGTGGCAAGGAATTTTCAAGAATAAGATTCGATCTTATTAATTTAATAATTATATATATATACATTCACTTTAAGGTAATCTCAATTACATGCCGCAGCTTTAACTTTAGTTTTTAGTTGCATTGAAAACAATTTTAATGGAAATTTTCAAGACTCCAGCTTCCATCCATTTCCCCAAAAAGAAATACTCCGAAAGGAGCAGAGAGCTCTCCTCCCCCAATCTCTTCCTGATATGGTCGCAAAAGTTAATAAAATTAGCGCTGAAGCTTTTCATATTTTATGACTTTGTGCCATAATTAAAATGCAAATGTGTTTGATTAAAAGCCGCATAGTGAAGGAAACGTGGAAACGAGGAGGCGAAGGAAGAGGCAATGCCTTGGTCTGGGATTTGGTTTTCAATTACTCTGCCATTACTGGATTTAAACTACAAGTCATCTAGGTTTAAGGCCAAGTCGAAGCTACAGGAACTTGAATTTTAAATAATTTAATTATATATATCTATATATAGAGAAACGAAATCAGAGGCAAATATCAAATAGTTTTGCTAAACAGAGCAGGAGGACGTAGGAGCTCAGAGCTCAGACTTTAAGACCCTGAGAGTATTTTGGGATGAATTTGGGGGAATGAATGAATGAATGAATGAATGAATGAATGATTTTCCACTTACCGAGACTCAGGTCGTAGGCGCATATGTAATCGGATGTGGTGAACTGGTATGTCAGGGTGGTCTTGCCCACGCCGGAGGCACCGAGCATGGCAATCTTAAAGGCGGGCACATTGGGATCCCCATCCGGTGGTCTGTCCCCCAGGACCATGGGATCCCCACCGTCCACGACTTCTCCAGAGGCTCGCGAAGCGTTGCTATGGAGGGGTGAGAGGGGAGGGGAAAAGAAAAATACACGAAAATCAATTAGGGGTTTACATGTGGAAACAAAAATAACAAATAATCAGTGCTGACAGTACATTCGGCTTTTCATCATTATTAATGCTTAGTTTTTTCTTTAAATTATTTAATGAAATGGAAGTGGAAAGCATCTACTATTAGCTTAATGGGGTTATGACACTGCATTTAAAATAATAGTAAAATATATAAGATTAAATATATAGAAAAATGTATTCATTATTAATTATATATGTACAAGATACTATTGAAAATATAATTAGAAAAAAAGTGAACGTAAAATGTGACTGCTCTCTATTCAATGGAAATATGAAGTGTCATAACAATTATAAGATGTAAGATGCTACGTTTTCTTCTCTAAAATTATTAGAAAGAGCTGATTTTCTCTTAAAAAAATATATAAATTCAAAGGAAGGAAATGCAAAATATAAAAAATATGAAAAAATCAAAAGAAAAACGAAAATTTAAAGCTAAAAGAAATCTATTTCCTTTCTCAAAATTATCCCGTTTAATCAAACTTTTTGTTACTTGTTTTGTTTTTTGGAAATATTACGAATGTTGTCAGCACTGTTAATAATAACAATAATCAGACAAGCGGCGGCTGTGGCGATGGCGGCTTTTCTTTGACAATGAGACGGAAAATGCCTTGGCATTGTTGCCACACACTCATCTTCATCAGCATCTCTCCGCGTCCATCTTCCATCTTCCATCTTCGTGGCATGGCATGGCCCTTTTATCAGCCGGTTGTTAATGGCAGCGGAAATTGTTTGGCGTGGAAATTGTATGAAATTAGTGCCGACTATATAGACGACGTGCGAATGCCGCACGTCTCGGTGGCATTGTTGTCGCCATGCGAACTGCCACTGTCTCCGTGGGGATTTATTGTCATTTTATAAACAATTTATTGCCAGCCAGGCAGGCAGGCAGCCAGCCAGCCACTCGTGCTCATTGAGTCACTGAACCACTCCTGAACTCACCTATTGTGACGATCCAGGCCGCTGGTAGATGTGCCCGTCGATGTCACGGATTTGATCGAACGTGACCTGCGGCTCCTGTGACAAAAGAAAAAACAAGATAGATATATATATATAGGAGAAATATATATAGGGAAATACACATTGAAATTATCATTTACAATTCACATTTAATGTACTCAAAGTATGACAATAATACATTCAATATTTCTATCTCATTTCTTATTATAACCTTGCAGGGTATTATTATTAAAGTCAGAAGTTTGATAATCAGTGAAAGAGTCATCTGCGACCATATAAAGTATATATATTCTTGATCAGCATCATCAGTTATCTCAATCAAACTTGCAGTAAGTATCAATGAACATTCAGTATCTATAATCAGTAATTAACTAAGAGCAGTGAGTAACTCTGCACAGTAAGTAACTATGATCAGCAATTCACTATGATCAGTAAGTATCTATGACCAGTAAGTATGAATGTATGATTAGTAATTAACTTTGGACACTTGTAAACAATGACTTGCAACTTTTGTAACACAACACATTTGTGATACTTGGCCAGCAGCAGTCACTTCGTTCCGGGGATGTTAAAACCAGTTGGGAATCATATGCACAGATGTGCGAGATTTGTTTTGGAACAAATATATAATAATTTTTTAATTTTTCTACTATATAAGTCGGAGCATGGCGAATCGGTGGACTATTTATATATATATAATTTATATAGCTGCCATAGGAACGATCGGATAATTTTTAAACATAAATATATGTATATATCTGCAATATAAACTTCGGTGTGTCGAAGTTAGCTTCTTTTCTTGTTTTTATGACAAATAAAAACTTAAAAAACTCATGATTAGGTCAAAAATGGATTAATTTCGATTCAGAAAGCTGTTCTGTTCTAGTTTTTAATAGGTTAATAAATCTGCATACTTAAAATACATTTTTAGGCTATTTCAATTTTCGTCGATTTTTCAGAATGTTAATGATGTAAAAAACGGCTTAAAAAATATTGAAAAAAAATTTCAAAAATTTTTTTCTCTCCTTTATGTCTAGAAAGATTCGTCTGTTTATGCTGATCAAGAATATATATGATTTATGGGGTCGGAATTGACTCCTTCACTTTGTTTTGAGCTTCGGACTAAAATTAGAATTCCGTTTTTAGTCGATATTTCGATATTTTTATATGACAATTATATCAACAAATCAATATTTAAAAAACTCACTACTAAGCCAAAATTTAATTAATTTCTATTCGGAAAGCTGTTCTGTTCTAGTTTTTAATAGGTTAATAAATCTGCATACTTAAAATACATATTTTGGCTATTTCAATTTTCGTCGATTTTTCAGAATGTTAATGATGTAAAAAACGGCTTAAAAAAATATTGAAAAAAATTTAAAAAATTTTTTTCTCTCATTTATGCCTAGAAAGATTCGTCTGTTTATGCTGATCAAGAATATATATGATTTATGGGGTGGGAATAAAATTATAAATTAACTATGAGCAATAAGTAACTATGAGCAGTAAGTACCTATAACCAGAAATTAACTATAACCAATATGAATATATGATCACTTAACACTTAATCACTTGTAAACAATGACTTGCAACTTTTGTAACAACACATTCTTAAGACGTGGCTGGTAACAGTCACTTCGTTCCGGGGATGTTAGAAGCAGTTGAGAATCATATGAACAGATGTGTGAGATGTGTTTTGGAACAATTGTAAGAGCATTTGAATGAAACTTTGAAGTTATTTTTTTATATAACTTTACTAGTATATAAGTCGGAGCATGGCGAATCGGTGGACTATATACATATATACAGAAATATATGTATAATGTATAATTGCCATAGGAACGATTGTAAAATTTAAAGACAAATAATTATAACTGTTCCAGTTTTCTGTAGATTTCCATCAAATTTCATATTATTCTACAATTTTGTGCACAATTTTATAAAAATCGGACTACTATATCATTAAGCTGTTACACAAACGAGCGTTTAAAATAGAGGATAATGCAAAACGGTGAAAAATATATAAATAATTTATATTGTATCGTATTTCGTAGTGATCGAATTTCAATCTGCAAGGGTGTACAAACTTCGGCTTGCCGAAGTTAGCTTCCTTTCTTGCTTTGAAATAATTATTTTAAAATGATATCCAAATTGTTTTCCTCTTCTTCTTAGTTGAAATATATAAAACTCACCTTAGGGAGTCACCCAAATTACAAACTCCGTGAGAGGTTATACTGAAGCTACGTAGACGATAGTAGCCCATGTCTGGATCACCGGTATGGATGGCAGACCGGCGCATATCCGCCAATCGGGGCTGTAAATAAATATAAATATATAAATATAGGTATAACTATATAGTATTTATAAAAAATGTATTATTAGTTAAAGAAATTTCCCCAAACCAAAGCTTAAAGTATTATTTGATTGGTTTCGATAGCAGAAATATTAACGTACATTTTTTGTAGCCTATTAGATTTTTTTTAAAATTAATAATATCTTAAAGTTGAATTTAGCTTCGTGGATATATAATTTGTCTAATAATAATAATGAGAAATAATAAATTCTTTTGAAACAAATCAATTTTAAAAATTCCTTTTAAGTTATGCCTAGGTCTTGATTAAAATAATATAGCTCCTGAAGTAATTTTGTAATTTATATTAACATTTGAATTTAGAATAGTTTTGTATTAATTAATCTATTCTTCTATTAATTTTTACATAAACTATAAACTATGTATTTGATGTAAAATTGTCTAGGAGAGATTACGTATACGTAATGCGCGTGTTTTAAGAAATATTGCGTATACGCAATGGTGACTGAACACAAGGACGACTAGCAACAGTTTGTTTTTTTTTTTAATAAAAAATGTGTGTGAATAAAACCACCTCGATGTGAAGAAATTCCGACTAAACTTAGCTTCGATATTTACGCACAAATCGTATTTGTGATTGTGAGATTGGCATAAAAAAAAGGCAATCAGGCTGCAACCGCACATGGAATGTGTGTGCACTTGTACCTTCAATTAGGCAGTGCCATAAGGTGTGTGCATAAAGGCTTTATATGCAGGACTCTTATTTCCCGTCGCCAAGAGGCCGAACGAACTACAGTTCCTGCCAATTCCACACACACATACACCCACAGATATTTGCGGTTGCACAAAAGTTTTCCATTCTTATTCTCTTTCTTTTTTTTGTTTCTACTTTACTTTTTTCGGGGCTGCCTTCAGGGTCTGTGTCTGCGGGTTTTCTGTTTTATTCTCTCTCCTTCTTTGGGTGTGGATAGGGCAGTGTACTGCAGTCGACAAGTTGCCACCACTCACTTGACACTATTTCGCATTTAATGCCTGCACATTCCCCATGAAGCGTAGCAGTCCCTGTGCCGAGTTCAGTTCTGGCCCGGAGCCATCGACTACGTGCTTGCCATTGATTCGCATTGAAGGTTTCTCGCTCACTTTAATTGCACACAGCAAAAAACAATTTCTTATGTTTTAAAATATATTCTTAAAATTTAAAATAATGCGTTGCAAATTAGAAAAAGTTAAGATATTAAGTATATATAGTCTATTTTTCAAATGGTTTATATTAAAAAAATATAAATGAGTAAAGTGTGACCATTGCGTATACGTAATACACTTGATGTGAACAATATTACGTATACGCAATTTTTAAGTATTTCGTAGTATTTAGTATTAAATTTACGTATACGCAACTTTTTAGTATTTCGTAGTATTTAGTATTACATTTTAGTATCAAATTTTAATATTCAATTTTAGTATTAAATTTTGGTTTTAAATTTTAGTATTAAATTTAACCTTTACTTCAAATTATTTTTAAGATTATCGTTTTGTTATTTCCCTAAAAAGTTCTCTCTATCTTCTATCTTTTCTCGAAATTGTATTCAAAATATATATTACTACCGCAAATTAAAAAAATAATTGAAAAATAATTACTATTTTGTATTAATATAATATATATATTTAAATTTCAATTATTCTTCTCAGTGCTCCACAGGTTACTGCTGCTTTTTTTTTTTGTATATTTTTTCCAATGAAATCAATCGAAACTGAAAAGTTTGCGCATGAAAATGATGGAAACTTTGTAGTCCATCGACCACAGCCCGCAACTATTTTGAGTAGAGGTCATTGCACCCGACTGTTCCACTTTTCCCGCCGCCCAGTTCCCAGTTGTCCCAAAGGTGTGCGGTGGCGAGGTGGAGGAGGAGTCGAGGGAGCCAAATGTGGCAAAGGAGCAAGTGCAGCAGCTGAGCCTTGCAGGTGACAGACTCGAGCAATTTCACAAATTAATTACATTAGCGGCAACTTGGGCTGGGACTAGGACTAGGACTAGGACTAGGACTAGGAGTAGGACTAGGACTAGGACTAGGACTAGGACTAGGACTAGGACTAGGACTAGGACTAGGACTAGGACTAGGACTAGGACTAGGACTAGGACTAGGACTAGGACTAGGACTAGGAGTAGGACTAGGACTAGGACTAGGACTAGGACTAGGACTAGGACTAGGACTAGGACTAGGACTAGGACTAGGACTAGGACTAGGACTAGGACTAGGACTAGGACTAGGACTAGGACTAGGACTAGGACTGCCTTCAAAAGAAGCGTATATAGTTTCGAAATTTTAGAGAAAAAGCTATGTGCCCTTCAATAAATAAAGGAAATGCGGTGCTCCTTATAACAAAATAAATAATTCTGGAAACATTAAAGTTATCTAAATATAAAAGCGAGTTATCTAGTGCGCTCCAGGAATTCAGTAATATATTAAAAAAAAACAGACACGCTTCTCCTATGCAATGTGCCAAAAAAAAAAAAAACAAAAATATTAAAAGATAACTAAAAAGGCATTGCAAGGCACACAAGGTGGCCGCACAAGTGGGATTTTTGTGGTAGGCTAACCAGGGAAATGGAGACGAGCAGAAGGGGAATCCCCTTACCCCATACCCGACCAGGACATCACAGAACAGGATTAGCTGGCGCCGCAGCAAAGGCTTAAGCAGGCAATGACCCGGCCAAAGGAGCAGGAGCAGGACCGAGCCAGGACCAGGCCATGCATCAAATGCTCAGTCATGCTGAATGCTGCAAACTTGGCCAAAAACACTTATGTTACACCCAAACCCAGACATCCCCAGATACATGTGTAATCTTTTGCCTCTAGTTCTTCCTTTCTTTCCTTTTTGGCACATCCTGCCAACTAGTTTTTGGGAATATTTCACCACACAAGTGGAGTGGTGAGTGCTAATGGGTGTCCTTAAATGGCCTTTGTTCCTTCCCCAACTGGACCAAGTTTCAATTACTTGTGTCGGTTGTCCCATGTCGATGATAATTCCCCAAAGTCCTGCTCCTTGAACTGGCTTAACTGACTCCATTCCCGGAGGAAGATATGGGAATGATGACTAACTGAATTTTTGGCCAAAAATAAATAGTTGCAATGACTGGACCCGTTTTTTGTTTTTCCAACAATGTTCCCGACGTGCCTGGAATCCCATTTCCTGTCTGTTTATCTGTCATTTGTCATGACTTTCTTATCAGCTTAAGTGGATGCTTATGCATATGGCTTAACATAATATATCATGTTAGTATTTACTTTTTAACTCTTCAAGGATTCTAAATGAATTTATCTAAATTTATACTGAGACTTATGGCTTTTGCAAGTTAATTTGTGAGGTAATTATTATTTGTATTACTTAAGTTTGAAATTTATATGATGGATATATATTGAAAGGAAAGATGATATGATATTGCATTGAAATGTAATATATAGAAGAATATATTAGCACTGTATTAATATATATATATATTGATAGTATTAAGAAATACTTGAAGAATTATATTTAAAAGATTTGATTTATAGCAACTTTGGACTATAGATTTCTATTTAGGAAACGATATGTTATATAAAACATTTAGCAACTCACCCTTCGGCTCTCTGCTGGCATGCTGGATGTCCTAAGGCGTTGTCGTTCCAGCAGAGATCGTCCTGGCTGTGATGATGTTGTTGAAACTACATTAGCTGCGGCCATACTGGCCATATTGGAGTTGGAGGCACTGCCTCCTCCGAAGGACTCGCCAACGCCCACACCGCGCTCCCGCTGCTGCTGTTGCTGCTGCTGCTGCTGCTGTTGCTGTTGCAGCTGCTGCTGTTGTTGCAATTGCTGCTGCAGTTGCGTTTGTGTGGATCTGGTGGTGGTACATTGTCCCGGTATTACCACTTCTGGGGACAGCGAGTCACTGGAGGTGGCATCCGGCCCACTAGTCACCTCGGCGACAGCAGCTAAGGTGCTGCTTGAGCCACCCAGAAATCCCAGTCCAACGCCAACGCTGAGATTGTGGGCTGAACCGCCCGGCAGGCCTCCACTCCCGTTTCCCAAATTACCAATTAAGCCGCCTCCTCCTCGGTCACCAGCAGCTGCAGCACCTGCGGAACCTCCTCCACCTGGCATCATGTCCGCGGCATCCAGTCCAATGGGACCGTATTGCGGCGACACGGCACCGGAAATGGCTTGCTGGAAAGTAAGGACGCCAGCAAGGGACATGCGGTCCCTGGAAATAAATGGTAAATCATGAAAATAAATATATCTACTATTAGTTGCATAAAAGTGCAGTGGTTAGTATTCTCCATTTTGTATATTGTAGCACAAAATCCAACAAAACTCTACAAACAAATTGCATTTCATCTCATAATTGGTGCACTTAGCCACCGCTGATTGAATAGGTTACATGCTCCCCAGCTAGCTTTTAGTGCAATTAACTCTCGCTGCCTGTTCCTGGCTAAAACCAAAATTCAGGATTTAGTTAGCCGCCGTACAGTAGGTGGGAAAAGGTCACATTGCTAATTTGTGCCAAAGGTTAAAGGCTAAAAGGTTTTCCAGTGAACACATGTTGCAACACTTAAAACATAGGAACTTTCTGGCTTTGGTTAAATTTTATATTTATTATTTAACTAATATTCTCACCTGGCGCTACTGCTGTGCGAAATGCGTTGAAAATCCTCAGGATCCAAAGGGACTCCACCGATGCTATTTCGAGTTCCATAATTGTACTCCGAATGCAACAGGTTTCCGGCTATCGAAGAGGCTCGTCGTCTATTCAAAATCGGTGACTTTTGGGCCCTAAGACTCTGCTGAGAATATAAGAGGAAAAATGTGAAAAATATATATTATTTTGGCTTGTAATGTATTAGAAATATCTTACATTTTATTATTATTATTTATATTATTTTGAATTAATTTTTATAATTACTTACTCGACTACCAGTTGGATTTTGGGCTGCATTGAGGAAATCATTGTAGGTGCTAAGAAGCGGCACTGTATTTGGATTTGAATCTGTGCTATAATCCCATTCCTCAGGCGGGAATTGCTGCTGCTGATGGTGATGATGTTGCTGCTGCTGCTGATGTTGCTGCTGCTGATGCTGCTGCTCCAGGAACTGCTGCTCTTCCACATCATAGCCTTGCTGATGAGCCTCGAACTGCACCTGCTGTTGCTGGTGAGTATCGAACTGCACTTGTTGTGGCTCAAACTGCACATGCTGTGAATCGAACTGAACCTGTTCAAGGAGCAGAAAAGTTAACCCAAAAAAGGATTAGAGATCTAAAACTCGATGCTTTATATACTTTAAATATTTATAAATTACTTTTCCTAGGAATATCTTTACCTGTGGCTGCTGCGACTCAAACTGCACTTGCTGCAGTTGCTGCAACGACTGTTCCAGGGCTTGACTGTAGGCATTGTAGGCCGCTGCTGCTGCTGCCGAGGTGCTGGGTCCCTGGCCATAAGACGTGGCAGTGGCCGGAATGGCGGTCAGGTTGCCACGACTACCGAAGCCACTTTGCTGCTGGACACGCTGCAAGGCAGCCTCGCGGGTGTGGTATGCCCCAAGGCCACTGTGCGTGGGTGGAGTGGGCAGGATGCGATGTTGCTTCGGATGAACCGGTATCTGTTGCTGTTGCTGTTGCAGATGCTGTTGCAGGTGTTGCTGCTGCTGCTGTTGCTGCTGTTGCTGCTGTTGCTGGTGTTGCTTCTGTGGCTGCTTGAGGATCGGCTTGAGCACATTGTAGGCCAATTGATGGGGAGCTGGCGATGGCACTGGTCCCTGGTTGCTGCTGCTCAGACTGAGGCTATCGCTCTCATCGCAACTGGCATCTGAGGACCCGGCCCACGGACAACAGCCAGGATAAGGTTGAATTTAAATGGGGAAACAAAATTAATATTGCAAAACATCTCGGCACAAAGCCCAAAATAATACAAACTATATTCATTTTATAAGAGTTTTCCTTACTAACTTACTTTGCCTATGAGTTTAAATAATAAAACACCCATAGCTATCAAAGTTAAAGTGTAAGCAAACAGCTTTGTTGGGAATTATTAAATATTAAAAACATAAAAAAGTCATTTGGTGTAAATTAGTGCCTGCATAAATAATGAAATCGCTTGAAAGTATGATTTAATTAAGGTCTCTCTCATTTGCAATGTCAATATGAATATTTTTTCCCTCATGCATTCCATGTGTTTTACAATAATCTAATAAAAAGCTTTACACAAAAAAATTAAACAAAGGACAAAGTTGTGGAAAGCAAATAAATGCATTTCCATGGAAGTGAACAGTCGTCAAAGGAAAAACCACAAAAGTCATACAAATAGTTGACTTGTTTGGAGACTTATTAAAAATTTTGATTTAATTAAAGGCATTAAACTTGGTTAATGAAAAATAAAAATATTCAGAAGCTGGCACTTCCACATATTTATGCTGTATAAATAATTAAAGCAAATTTATAATTGTAGAGATCTCTTAAATCGGTAATACGGTTTGCTATATGGGAATAATATCATTAAATGTTTTCTTTGTTTAATTATTTCCTTGTATTATAATTTTAGTCGGAAGCTCTAAACTATGTGAAGGAGTCATTTCCGACCCAATAAATCATATATATTCTTGATCAGCATCAACAGGAGAATCAATCTAGCTATGTCCGTGGAAAATTTAATTTTTTAAAAATTTTAGGAAATTTTATAAGGGGTTACATCGTTAAAATTGTCAAAATTGATATAAATTTGAATTTTTTAACTTTTTAAGTAGAGTATGCAGATTTGTTAACCTAATAAAAACTAACACGGGTTTTCCGAATTGAAATTAATGCTTTTTTGGCCAAGTTATGCGTTTTTTAGTCAAAGCCTTTGTATAAAATATTGTTATATAAAAATATTAATAAATATCATTGACTCTGCCCATAAATCTTTAAAACAAGCTAAATATTTAATGGAATTTAAGTTAAACAAACCCGAAATGGAAAGTGAAAAAAGTACCAACGGGCAATGTGGCGTATACGTAATATTTATTTCAAATTACGTATCCGCCTAGTAGAACCTAGCTTCATGCTGTATAAAAATTTAATTTTTTAACATTTTAGGCTGAGTATACAGATTTATTAGCCTAATAAAAACTAACACAGCTTTCCGAATTAAAATTAATGCTTTTTTGGCTGAGTTATGAGTTTTTGAAACATTCCTTTTTCGAAAAAATTTTCAGATACAAATATGAATTCAATAAATCCTTAGGCTTAGTTATGATCGATTTTCGATTTGATCCCATAATTTAATTGCAAACTGCAAGGGTGTATAAATTTCGGATTGCCGATGTTAGATTCCCTTCCGAGTTTTGTGCAACATCAATATTTCTTTTGTGCTTAATTTTGTATTGTATCATTCTATGAATTTATACTCATTCACAGAAACCCACTTCATTAACTGCATTCGAGGATTTTTTCGGAAATTTTATGCCATTCGAATCGAAGCGACAACTAATTGCAATCAAAAATTATAGGGAACAAGCCGTAACAACAAACAGGCTCTATATAATTTGCTTTTTGCCAGGCTTCTAGTTCCCCCGAATATCCAATTTAAATGACAAGGGAAAAATCACATACTCTGGTTGTTTGGACTTTATTTTCTAATTGTTCCATTTGACCATTCCCCATACATTCCATACATTTCAGCCACAGGGAGGTGGTGGTGGTGTCCAGGGCCACCTTGAGGTACATATATGAATGGATGTATATACTCCATGAGTGCCACCTGGGGGCACCTACTACTAGGCGGCGAGTGTGCTTGTGTATTCCCAAGAATTATGTGCCCCAAGTTGAAGTCAAATATGAAAATGTTTTGCCAGAAAAGACCCCGCAAAGAGCAGAGAGCTGAGGAGAAGCAAAAAAAGTAAAGAAACTTTTCCGAGACATTTCCCAAAGTCAGTGTATGTATGGGGAATTTGCCTTCTGTTTGCTTTGCTGTTTACATGTTTATAGCCCAAGCTTAAGTTTTCTTTCTTTCTTCCACTTTTCCCAAACAACAAAAGGAACAAAAAAGAAGCGAAAAAATTTAATAAACTTTGTGTGCGTCGTCGTCCTTGCTGGGTGCCATAAAAAATTGTCGGTTAGATCCCGGAACATGGCTAAAAATATGGTCACACCCCACACACACCCCGCACACACACACTCATGACAGGTATACTCAGTTAAATACTAAATATTAAATATTAAATATTAAATATTCATTTGCCTTTAAGGAAGTCTGACACATAGAAAGAGCTCAGCAGCGTGCGACCTGTCACCTTGTCTGGGAAACTCCACAAAAAAGGAGTTGTAAATAATGGCACTTCAAGTGAACAAGTCTAAAACGTTGTTATATAAAAATGAATAGTAAAAACAATAATATAAAAATAATATATACATATAATATATATATTTGATTATCATTCCTAGATTATTTTGTGGCTTAAACCTTATTTTCTGTCTTAATTTTAACCTATTAGAGACCTCCAATAGCCACTTCCTATCGGGCAGAAATATCCTGTATGATATTGTAAACTTTGACGTATGTAAATTGAAAATTCAGAAATATATATATATATAATAGTTTAAAAGGAGTTACCATATTTTGGTATAAATAATATTTACAAAAGCAAGCTTCTTATTTTCCCGTTAAAAAACTCTTGTTTCCAAAAGAACCAATCAATTCATATAAGAATAAAGTCTAGGATATTCACTTCCATAGACAACAAAATCATCCTCAATATTATATAAAAAATATTGTAGACTAAATTGTAAATTCACAAATATATATAATAGTTTACAAACGAAAATTTCTAGAAGTTACCATATTTTGGTATCTATAACATTTCCAATAGGAAGATACATATTTCCCAGCTTAAAAACTCTTGTTTTAAAAAGAACCAATCAATTCATATAAGAATAAAGCCTAGGATATTCACTTCCTTCAGCCGCAGGATCATAAAAATTTCACCGCGCCGGAGTTTTGTCTAGCGAAACTTTCTATCGACGGTGCTTACTCTTAATTAGCTTGGGAATTTTATTACCCAACCAGGACTCGCAGCGGCAAGATACTCAAAAAAAAAAAATTGCTGCCAAGGCAGAGGGGAAGAGGAAAGCCTTCAATTCAGAGATTAAATGTCTATATATTCATTCATTCAATTCATTCACTCCCCCTCAAGGCTCAATCATTCGATTAATGAGTACGGCTCCCTCTTATTTTTGTGCATTTTAAGGCTCTGGCGATTAATCATAAAGCGGCTTCAAACATTTCTCGGGCTCCCCGAATTAATCACCGTGAAGTGCCTCTTCGGTCTCATTCAACAGTTTACCAAATGCAATTAAGTGGACAAAGGCGAATGAATACTTTTTGTGTGGGCCAAGTACTCACATCCTTTATACCTGGACCCGAACCGATTATCCTCTCACGTCCCCCCAAGGAAATCTGTAAAAAGGATTCGGGACCTTTTTTTCTGCTGTTCATTTGCCACTTTTTAAGTTGATGTTTAATTTTCGTTTTTTGGGGCTCGCTTCCGGCTGGCGGCATTTCGCTTTTCCATTATTTAAAAAGTGCCTAGAGTCTAATATCGTTTTAGGAGAGATATAACCAGGAAGTGGATTATAAATCTATATATCCTTACAAATTTAGTTGTACAAGTATAATTATTATTAATTATATATATATATATATATATATAAAGCTCAATATATTTATATAAGCTTGAGAATAACTTAGGCTGTATTTACCTTTCGGAAAAAAGAAGGCATAAAACAAGCTAATGGCTTTGGTAACTGGCAAATAGGAAGACCAAATTGAGTTAAGAAGCCAGCTAAAACGAGAACCGAGCTTCTATGGCCATTGGCCGTTGGTTTTTGTTGTTGCCGAACAGCCTGTCCTGGAAAGGCCCCTCAGTTTGATAATGGGCTTCCGGTCCTAAGTGCTTTAAACTGGACAGCAGACAGTAGACAGCAGAGAGCAGACAAGGGAGATAGCAGACAGGGGACTCCCCGTTTTGGAGGTGCCACAAAGCAACCATAATTGCATCAATGTGGCAAACAGCAACTGGCTCTGGGTGGGGAGTCTTTTTCTTTTAGAATTGGCTAATATCCTATATATATTTTATATAATTTTTTAGTTAGCCTAACAATTGTTAAGATTTTCTTATATTTTTCTGGCCCCCAAAGTAGGTGAGTTGCAAATCTGGAGCACTTGCAGCCAGTTGGGGAACCATCAACAATTGGGGCCAGGTGTCGCTCGCTGGCATGGCAAACAAGTCCAAGGGACAAAGTCCTTAATTTACCTGGCCGTGCACCATGCAAGCGCAAGCACGCACTTCCGGGGGCGGGTTGGGCGTTTTTGTTTGCCCTAATTCCCTAATCAAGCACCTGCCAGACTTCCATGCAACGCCTGCATTTCCGCTTTTGATTAGCCACCTGGCCGACATTTTGCAACGTGAAAATCTATTGCACTTTGCGTGTGCTTTTAATTGCGCTTTACAACACTGCCAGTGGCAGGTGATAAGAAGCGAGAATGCAATCAAGGAAAAATTATGGCACAGCCAGAGAACTGAATTCTTGATTTCTTTTTAAGAATAAATGAGAATATTGTTGGGCAATACTGGTTTAGGTTAAATTTTAGAATCAGGCTTAGTATAATTATCTAAAAAAAGTAAAATAAAAACCCCCATTTGAATATAGTGTATCACAATTCTTCAAAGTAATATTTAACACCCAATTAAAATATTATTCTTATATGGTAAATATAAACTGAACTGAATTCTTGATTTCTTTTTAAGAATAAGTGAGAATAATGTTGGGCAATACTGGTTTAGATTAAATTTTAAAATCAGGTTTAGTATATTTACTTAAAACCGAAATTAAAAACCCCAAATTGAATGTAGTGTATCACAATTCTTCAAAGTAATATTAAACACCCAATTAAAATATTATGTTTTATATAGTAAATATAAACTGAACTGAATTCTTGAGGCAATTCTGCCTTAGAGTAAATTTTTTAATCAGGTTTTAACTTAAAACCGATATTAAAAAACCCAAATTAAATGTAGTGTATCACAATTCTTCAAAGTCATATTAAACACCCAATTAAAATATTATACTATAGTAAATTTAAAAAAACTCTTGTGAAAAACTCACCGAAATCGAATGCTCTCTCCAGAATGACCGAATGTCGAGCCTGTGTGCGCTCCTGCCGCTCCTGGAGGCTCTTATTTTTGGCCGCCGCCGTGGTGCTGGGCGAGGAGGATCTCGGCTCATCGCTGGACGTGGTGGTCGACGGTGGTGCCATGATCTTAATTGGCTTCGATGGCTTCGATGGCTTCGTTGGCTTTATTGGCAACACCTGTGGCGGGGCATAGCCATACACATAGCCCTGAAGCTTGATCAAGCCGCAATTGTCCTCGCCATCGGGTCCGAGACGCTTCTGTTTCTCCCTCAGCCTCTCGCAGTCACAGACAAGGGTCACATGCTTCTGGCCGGGATCGGTCTGTGAGGGCTGGGACACGGCCTCCTGGTGGAGGCAGCAGTACTTGATGTGCTTGCACAGCTGCGTATTGGATCCACTCGATTGAGCTGCCGATTTTAATTTCTGGCCATGATTTTGATTGAGATTTTGGCTCTGGCTTAGGTCTAGGCCGCTGCCACTACCAGGACCAGGACCAGGACCTGGATCCGGCCCCATACCGGCGGCATTCAAGCCATTGGTACTGAAGCTAAGTGAGGCCCGGGAGCGACGCAGTGAGCTGGGACGACTCCCGATGCTGGCGGAGATCAGGTCCGAGCCGCTGCCGCCACTGCCGCTCCGGCTGCGCGACTGATAGACCGACATGTTGTGCTATGATGGAGGGAGACAGAGGAATATCCAAGTGCTCCAAGGATACCTTTGCTAGGCACACTCACCTGTTGTTGGCCCTGCGGCAACTGCTGCTGTTGCTGCTGCTGCTGCTGCTGCTGCTGCTGCAGCTGTTGCGGGGGGGATGATAGTGGCGGCCGGGACGGCCGGAACTGTCTCCCCCGCTGTGGCTCCGCATGCTGCCGCCGTAGCGCTGACGCTGGACGGGCACGGGGCTATTCTGGCGGGGAATTACCTGCGAATGATGATGGGTTGATTTTCAGTTAGTTTTGAGGATTTCAAGTTAGGCAATTGTTAGAGGAAGGATATCGAGGTTTCACTTTTTTTTTGGGGGTTGAAGGATCCGGTTTAGTTTCGGACAGGGACTACCTTATCCTCCAGGAGATTGGCAAAGAGCCCCATATGATCCTCGTCTTCGTTCATCATAGCAAAGAAGTTTTTGAATGTGTCCGGAAACGAGGCCGGAAATTGGCCACGCGCCTCCAATTTGGTATCCATTATCTTTGCTTTTATTTTTACTTTTCTTCACTTTTTTATATTATATATTTTTTCTCTTCTTTTTTTTTTCTTTTTGTCTGTCTTTTTATCTTTTGCTTTTTTTTGATATGAAAAAATCTTTGGTTTTGGTTTTGTTTTTATCAAATATTTTTTTTTATTGGTCCGTCATCGAATGCAACCGCAGACCAAGTAACATGCAAGGAGAGAACACGCATCAAGGTTAGAATAGGACAGCGAAAGCGAAAGCGATGAATAATAAATTAAAGAGAGTAAAAAACACAAAAGGATGTTAATAATTACAAATTATAATTCTAAATAAAATTGCAAAATGAAAGCCTGTCTGTTTTGAATTGCGATTATAGCTATAACGTCCTTTTATCATTTGTATTTATCGATAATCATTGTCATAACGTCCTTCTATCGTTTGTATTTATCGATAATCATTGTCATAACGTCCTTCTATCGTTTGTATTTATCGATAATCATTGTCACAGTCATCCACACATTGTCACATCATCACAGTCCACTATCGATATTTTGTATACAAAATCAGTGCTCCCATTGATATTATTTATAAATAATAAAAGCTACAATTGATAGTGTTTATAAATAATCAAACCTGTAACTATGTTTCATATTCCTGTTTATAGCGAGAACTTTCCTATTACTTTTTGTATATTTTATCGAAGTTTTCATACATATACAGAGAAATCGTATCGGAATAAGTAAAAAAAAATATATAATTTTGTTAGTGAGAAGTAAAATAACATATTTTCAGTAAACATTTCCTTGAATTTGATATCTTTTAAGCATTCTAATCCTGTTTAAATTTATTCATTCATATTTTCCGTATCAAAAATCGGATCTCTCTCTGGCTGCGATTAGGATTAAGGCCCCACCAATACCCGGGGTTTTTCTTTGCCCCGTTCAACTTTAATTGAAAGCGAACTTCTGTGAAAGGCTCCTGAGCTTGAGAGCAAAAATTTCAATGGGCGGGGTCCAGGGGCCCCCCAATGTAAACTGCGACCCGCCAAATACTTAGCATACTTTCCGGCACCCCTTCGGCGCGCTTCCTCTTTGCCAGTGTTCCGCCGCTTTTTCCGCATTTTCCTTGAGCTTTTCCAAGCGGCTAAATTTGAAAAGTTATCAGACCGCCGCCGTCGTGAAAAACTGATGTTGAAGTTGCCGATGGAGATGGTAATGGAGAGGGGGCCGCTTCCGTTGTAGGTGTCACTCTAATGTTACGCATACGCCCCGCAACATACTTATTTAAATATATATATAAATATATAAATAAGTATGTATATATTTATGTAAAAATCGAGAAAACATGGGACAAAATGTTGGCGGGTAAAAAGTTATTTTAATGGCGGTTTCCTCGGACTGGACACCCTCAGCTTAAACTTTTATGCACTGCAAATGGAGTGAGCCTGAGCCTAAGCTCCCCCATTGGACATGTAAATGAGGTGCCGGAAAAAAGTACACACACAAAAAAATATATGTAAATATACATATATTTTTTTATGAATATATATGAAAATCCTTATAGAAATACAACTGCAAATAGCAAATAGCTAAATTTTTATTGTTCTCAAATTGTCAATCAAAAATCGCTTTATTTTCATTAATGGAAACAAATCCAAAATTAATTTTTAAGACAGAAAATGACAAAGCCTTGATTTTAATGGTTATTTATGGGTAAGACTTTAGTTACTAGCAAGGTATTAGTGTAAAACAAAGACAAATATATCCAAGAATGAATAAAATTCAAAACATTCCGGAAGCTTTTAATTAATCTTTTCATTTTATATAATCTTTAAATCTGTATTCGGGCATACAAAAAAAAACAGAAAGAAAACTAACATTGTCAACCTGAAACTTATATAACCTTAAAAATGCAATTGAATTAAAAAATCAAATCGGAAATCGATCATAACTAAGCTTAAAATACGCATTCTTTGAGTCGATTTATATAGATATTTTTCTATGACAATTTTTTAGATAAATCAAATGTTAAAATTATTATAACTCTGCCAAAAATTCATTAAATTTAATTCTGAAAGCTGTCCTTGAAAGTTTTTCCAAGGCTAATAAATCTGCACAACCAATAAAAAGTGTTAAAAAATGCAAATTTGTGTCAGTTTTTGACAATTTTAACGATGTAACCTCTTAAAACATTTCGAAAAAATGGTCCAAAATTGTGTATCATTACTATATGCCCAGAAAGATTCCCTTGTTGATGCTGATCAAGAATATATATGATTTATAGGGTCGGAAATGAGTCCTTCACAGTGTTTTAAGCTTCGGAATAAAATTATTAACTAGCTATGAGCAATAAGTAACTATGAGCCTTACTGCTCAATAAACAGTAAGTATCTATGACGAGTAAGTATGTATGATCAGTTACTAACTTTGAACACTTGTAAACAATGACTTGCAACTTTTGTAACACAACACATTTCTGAGACGAGGCCGGCAGCAGTCACTTCGTTCCGGGGATGTTAGAACCAATTGGGAATTATATGCACAAGAGATTTGTTTTGGAACAAATTTAGGTGCAAGCTACTTAAATTAAACTATGAAGTTTTTTTTATACAATTTTAATAGTATATAAATCCGAGCATGGTGAATCGGTGGACTATATATATACATATAAATATAGCTGCCATAGGAATAATCGGACGATTTATAGACCTATGATATGTAATTAACTATGACCAGTAATTAAGTATGAGCAGTAAGTAACTCTGAACACTAAGTATCTATGAGCAGCAAGTATCTAAGACCAGTAAGTAAATATATTCAGTAAGTATCAATAATCAGTAAGTAACTTTGATCAGTAATTAACTAAGAGCAGTAAGTAACAATGATCAATAATGATCTATGCCCAATAAGTATGTATGATCAGTTACTAACTTTGAACAATTGTAAACAATGACTTGCAACTTTTGTAACACAACACATATCTGATACTTGGCCGGCAGCAGGCACTTCGTTCCGGGGATGTTAGAACCAGTTGGGAATCATATGCACAGATGTGCGAGATTTGTTTTGGAACAAATGTAATGCTATTTTAATAAAACTATGGAGTTATTCTTCTATATAATTTTACTAGTGTATAAGTCGGTGCATGGCGAATCGGTGGATTATATATATACATATATATTGCTGTCATAGGAACGATCAGAAAATGTTAAGATAAAAAATTATAACTCCTCCAGTTTTCAACAGATTTTCATCAAATATATATCAAATATCATATCATATCATATATACCATCATATATTAATCTAGAATTTTTAAATATAGAAGAAATAGATAAAAAGAATATATAAGATTTATAGGGTCGGAAATGACACCTTCACAGCATTTGAAGCTTTTAAGTAAAATTATAATACCCTGAAAGGTTATAATAACTGTTGATCCTCTCAATATAATTGTTGTACAAAGAAACAAAGCCTTTAAGCTATGGGTAACCACTATTACTATTTGCAATTCCGAGAAACTCATTCTGGGTACTGAAATAATCACTAATTCCGCAATTTCTTAATTCCCCAAGAGCTCTAGAAGCCCTCAAAAACCGATAATAAAATCCGAAATTCTGAGAAATAATAAAAGCCATAAGAAGGAGCCAAGTGCACTGGCAATAATGTTGGCTAGAACAAGTCAAATTCACGTCGCTTTTGTGACTCAACAAGTGGCTTTGGTTTCAGGGAAAGGCGTGGCTTTCCGCAGGCGTGTCCGTGCAGTGTGCAGTCTGAAGTCTAGACCCAGATCCTTTTCCACGAAGAGGTCAACAGTCAGCAGTCGAGGACCCGTCAATTAATTGCAGCGCAACAAATTAGCAGCCGCTTCAACCCTCATAGCTTACACTGGGAGAAATGTGAGCAAGCTATGAAAAAAAATGCTATACGCACTTTAAAAAAAGGAAACAGTTTGGAAATAGCGTGGCTTGAAAATTTATCATCGACAGGGTTTATAAATAATCAAAGCTGCAACTACATGAAATCATATTCTTCTTGATCTATATATTAAATATATCTCTTATCAAGAAAATCTAATCCAGAAAGAAATCTTTTATACCACGAACAAGATTTATCCACCTTTGTATCATAGTTTTTATAATTTTTTAACATTTTAAAACAGTAAATGAATAAGACCATATAATTGGCTAATTGTTACGCCAACTTTGGGAGGCGTCAGCGGAAGTGCATCCATGAGCCAACACATTTTGCATTTTGTGGACAAAGTTAGCCCCTTTTTTGGGCTCAACCATGTCAAGTGGCAGTCCAAGCTCAAACACAGACTCAGACTCCTCCCTCGCGTTGGGCTTATTAAAAAGTTGCAACTACGGTATGTGTGTGTGTATGTAACTACAGACAGAAAAAAACACAAGTAGTTTGAATCACAAACTTAAAATTGCAACAATTTCAGGGTAATATATTTCTAGTCTGGAGCTTGTAACACAGGGAAGAAGTCATTTCCGACCCCATAAATCATATATATTCTTGATCAGCATACACAGACGAATATTTCTAGGCATAAAGCAGAGAAACAAGTTTTTGAAATTTTTTTTCAATATTTTTTAAGCCGTTTTTTACATCATCAACATTCTGAAAAATCGAAGAAAATTGAAATAGCCTAAAAATGTAATTTGAGTACGCAGATTTATTTACCTATTAAAAACTAGAACAGAACAGCTTTCCGAATTGAAATTAATTAAATTTTGGCTTAGTAGTGAGTTTTTTAAACATTGATTTGTTGAAAAAATTGTCATTTAAAAATATCGACTAAAAACGGTATTTTAATTTTAGTCAGAAGCTCGAAACGAAGTAAAGAAGTCATTTCCGACCCTATATTCCATATACATTCTTGATCAGCATAAACAGACGAATCTTTCTAGGCATAAAGGAAAGAAAAAATTTTTGAAAATTTTTTCCAATAATTTTTAAACCGTTTTTTACATGATTAACATTCTGAAAAATCGAAGAAAATTGAAA